GGCATACCCCTAGATTCCCAGGAGAGTTTTCTGTCCACCAGGCTCCATTCTAGAGGTTGGGAAGCATTCTTGACCCTTCCTGGGGAAATCTTTATATTTTTTTCAGGAATGATTTACCAGGAGAAAGGGAATGAAGAGGACTGTGACTGTGCACCTCAGCATTAGGATGTGCATCTCAGAGAGACCTGGATTCCCATCTCCTCTTCCAGGTCTGCTTTTGTCTTCTTATTCAATGAGTATGTACATGGTCATTTAAATGGATAAAATGCAGAGGCAGCTCCGGAAGCAGAGACCGGTTCCCAGAACATCCTTTCCCAAGGGACAGATTTATTAGACAGTTATTAGATAAGAGGTGGGCCATGGTATCCCTGGCTCCCCAGCTGTCTCCTGAACTGCCTGTGGAGTTGTCCTTGCAGGATTAGGCAGCAGCTGATTGAGACTTTTTCAGCACTTTGGATTCAGGTACATCATTTCCATCAAAGTCCCTTTTACGCAGCAAAGAGCAAAAGCCAAAAAGTTGTTTTTGTGTTGCATCATGTAAAAATGTCTTAACTGCATAAGGGAGAAGGCTCCCTGAAACTCCAACAGATGCTTTTGATCGTGCACAGAGAAGTCATACTTAAATGGAGAAGGGCCTTTTAGACAAAACCATAAGGCACTTTGGGCTGCCGACAGTTCTGAGGAATCATCTGGGTACTTTGCATGTCACTGAAAAATGCCTCAGCACTTTTCACTGCTGTGTCCTGTGTTGGAGCCAAGCTTGCTTGCTCCCCACTGCATTCCAGCAGCATGGAGAGCAGGAGGTCCATTCCTCAATGCTGATAAAGATTTTCCCATGGTGCAAGACAGCCTAAGAGATGATCTCAGCTTTTTTCATCACCTAGAGATGGTGATGAGAAAGCAAAAGCAAAAAAAAAGCCTTTAGGTGATTCAAAGCTCATTTTAACTGGACTTTATCTTGCATCCTCCCACTTGTGCCAAGCGGGACAGAGCTGGGGTGAGTTTATTTTCCAGGCCCTGATTGTTGCAACATCTTCTTGGAGTCTCCTACTTAAAGCTGGAGAGATCCTGAAGAAAAGAAATGCAAAAGTGGTGTCCAGCTGCCTTTGCCCCATATATAGCTTTGGTATCTGGGTTACTCTGTTTTGTCTGGTACGTATCTGTGATACTGTCTATTTATATCCAGTTCTGTCTCCTGTCCATGCTCACCAGCACCATCATGTCTCCCGATCTGTCCAGTGGTCTGCAAGCAGACACATACACACAGGCCAGAAGTTGTCAACATCGCCTGTTTTTTTAACTGGGACAGCTAGGATAAAGGCTTAGGGTGGATGAGCTTCCTTGACCAGTGAGAGCTGGAGATGGAGAGCAGTGCATTCCCTCATGCTGCAACATCGAATAGAAGGAGCTGCGGGTCTTCCTCTACGTTGGTTTCAGCTCCAAAACCAGGGTGGAGAGTGTCCTTCCCACCTCCAGCCCAGAGAAAGGGGATTTTTGTGGTCCTATTGCTGTGCCAGCGAGCTGGCCGGCGGTCCCGGGAGAGCAGCTCTGCACCAGGCTGGCTTGCTCCCCAGCACAAAGCCATTGACTCTCCATTCCTCAGGGACTTAGTGACTTCAGCGTGAGCAGCAAGACTTCAGCCTCTAAATCTCCACAGCACGCGGCCCCGGCATTTTGTGGCTTAGACCATGTCCACAGCTGGATGCGGTGTTTCACTCGGTGTGCTCGCTGGAGGTGACAGCACCGCAAATCGCCTTCTCCGGGGAAACCCTCGACACCCTCCGGTGGTGCCCCAAGCCCTGCTCCTTCCCCTATCTAGCAGTGCAGTCCTCATTTTGCTAAGCTGAAGCGTATATCTAACATAAGCATGTACACCTCCACATCGGATCCACCTAAAGCAAGAAGAGCTTCACATTTTTCGCAAAATTGAGGTCTCAGTATCCTAAATGTACCTTTCAAATGCAACTGCGGGATCTGCATAATTGAAACTTTTGCTCTAATCTTGTTGCCTCCCTCAGGCAGTTCCTGACAAATGGAGATGATAAGTGAGGGTCTGTAACAAACATAACTAAAAAAAGGCATCTTTAATGTTTTTGCAATGTGTTCAAAGCAGCTTGGGTGCTGAGCACAGAAAACTCATTTCCCTTTTACCTGAAATGCCATTATGTTTATTAAATTAGGAGTGGCATTAATCCTAGAACATATCCAACTCTTGTGATTTTGCATTTGTCATAACTAAAAAATCTCACTAAATATTTCTCTATACCTCTAAATAATATTGCCTGTCATGTAATACTTGTCTCAGATTTTCCTCAGTGACTGGGTATCAGAGCTGAAAAAGAGCTATCACAGAAAATAAAATGGGACTAAAATAACAGTCCTTTGTATTAAATTTAACACTTGGCTTCTCTCCCAGAATTTTCCACATCCATATTAGAATCAGATGGTAGCGTAAGATGAAAAGATTTCCTGGATGGATTTTATTCTTATTCTTACTGAAGGGCTGATAACAGGCTGAGGGCAAGATACTTGTTGTAGTAAAAAAATCTGCCTAATATCAAAGAATGGATGGACAAGCTGACATGGATTATTGTTAGGCCTCCCTGCTTGATCACATATCAGTATCATAAAATCATTCTGCTAGTGAACACGAAGTATAAAAATTCCAGCACGAGAGCAAAAAGCCCAGGCTGGCAGATACCACTCCTTTGGGCACACGGCTTTCTGCTTAGTAGCTGACCGTAAGGCGATGCAAGGGTTTGATATCAAAAAGTAGTGTTGGCGACAGCACAGTGTAGCTACATTTATTTTAAATTTTAGTTATTCTCAAATATCTGCATTCATGAAAGGCACTCCCTCATCCTGGCTTACCTGTGGAGCTGGTGTCACGTGTGATGTGACAGCGTAGGGCAGCCCCACCAGTATTGCTCAGGCTTCTTCAGGAGCCACGCATCCTCCGCCCTGTCCCCGAACCAGCCACTTGCCCCGGGTTCCGCTGGCAATCTGGAGACAGAAGATCAAAGGGACTTAAATACTCTTCAGAAAGCAATTTTCCCTTTACTCAAAGCAGCTTTGTATAGTACTTATGTATGACTGGGCTTAAATTGTACAAACGTTTGCAGGCTCTGGGTATTCTATGCAAAAAACAACTACCTTTGATAAAATGAAGGAGTGGTGCTTTCTAGTGTTGCTGTTCTGCTGTAGTGGAGACTGCAAGCATGATATTGGAGCTATAAATTAGATTTTGCAAAGCGGCTCTTCTGTAGGGAGTCTGCCGCTTCAGACCGACAGGCTATAATTAGCATTTTCTTGGGGACATTTTTGCTCTGTTTTGACACACTATCTTCAGCAACAAAAGCAGAGCAGCAATTGCAGGCTGCATTGACCCTTCATTTCAGCTTGTGATCGCAAAAGGTATCAAAGAGCAAATATGCTTTATAGATATCTTATGCTGCTTTTCTAAATGCACCTTTTTAAAGCAACTGGTATGTGGTTTGAATTTACAGGCAGAGAATTGTTTTACCAGCGCTGGTGTTTACAGCATCAACGTCAACATCTGAGCTTATACTCAGCACTTCTTTTACAGTCAGTGGAGAGAAATGTGCGCGTTTAGAGGAGTAATTAATCTGATCTATTTTAGACATCTTCTTTCCAGTGAAATGAATTGTATTCTAGAAGAGCCTATTTCTCTCCTTAGCCATAATTAACCCTAGTATAATTAGTTCAGGAGGGGCCATCTGTAGTTGGGTGAAATGGAACCCATACAGCATGTTTCTGAATAGCGGTGTATTCTGATTCTGCTATTAACCCTTGTTTGTGTTAATGCCTCTTTTTTTTTTTTTTAATTTAATTAAATTATTATTTTTTTAATTTTAATATTTTTTTTTAATTTTAATTCCCCAGATTACCATAGGGAATACACAAAGAGATGACTCGTGTTTGTAGGAAATACTTGGTTCAGTCCCTAGGAGATTTTTACTCCTGATAGTTTCAGCTACCTTAAAGCTTCCTGTGAAAGCTGTTTTGATAGTTGTATTGATCCTGTCCTCCTTGACTCAGGTACCAGTTCAATGCTAAACATCTTCTCGGATGAAGAGTGCGTTCTGGGGCATATTGGGCACTTGGGCAATACTAAGGGACATAGGGCAGAAATCTCTGAGAGAACATGGGACCTCCTTGCATTCTGCTGAAAACAGCTTCAAGGAGGCCAGATGAATGGGGCTGTAGCAGCCTGTTTTCAGGACTGTTACTACAACTGAGGTGAGGGATAAGGAAGCATAATTTGTATTGGGGAACAGTGTTGATGCTCTGTTCATTTGGGTTCACCTGAACCATGCTTATGGGTTCATTCAAATAGAAGAAAAGCCCCCAAAGCTGGTCTCCTCAAGACGAGTTTGCCATATATGACAGGGCACAAAGGGTAAGTAGCATCTTAGGAGACAGAAGAATTTCCTGTGAACAGCCCTCAGCAAAAAAAATAGAGTAATACCTAGTAACTAAGGAATCAAAGTTATTTCTGAAGTGTATAAACAGAGTCACAGAATAGGAGTAATAAGGTATTATTGGTCCCATATTAGTCATTTGTCACTATATCATACTGGTGCAAGCAGATTGATTTTCAGAGGGTGATGGCTGCTGGAAATGCGTTCCTTGAAAACCTTTCTTGTTCACTACCCCAAAATCTATAATTACTTTTGGAAGTCTTGGCTTTGGAGTAGAATTCTGATACCTGGACACTCAGAATCTCAGGGCTCCCTAGTATGGTCCACTGAGCATTAGTTCTCCTCTAATTAATCTCCCGGTTGATTATGTAATTAATTTTTCTAGGTGAGTATGTATTCTGTTTCTTTAATTAATTAATCCTTTCACCTCAGCTTTGCTTATTCCCTCCTTTGTCAAGGTCTTACACTAATATTTGCAGCATTGCCTAGTGACACGTGTATGCATCTTCTTTTTCTTTTTTTACAGATGTAACTGAAATTGCACCGTGTATTTTGAAGACTTCGCCAACAGATCAGCAGCTGAACAAGCTTGCGAGGAGACTGGGACCCGAATGGGAGCATATAGTTCTGTGCTTGGGTTTGTCCCACACTGACATCTATCGATGTAAAGTCAATCACCCTCACAACCTGCAGTCACAGATCGTAGCTGCGTTTGTGCTGTGGAGACAGCGTTTGGGGAAAAAAGCAACAATCCAAAGTCTGCAAGCCAGTCTGATGGCAGAAGAAGTGGATCCTTCTGTGCTACAGTACATGCTTGAGTGAAGCCTTGCTATTGATTGGGAACTTTCAAGTACTTCATTAAATTAAATAAAGAGGCTTCACTGAAATGTACGTTGAAGACCCGACGCCTCAAACTGGAAAAAAATGGGGTTGGGAACGGTAGTTTTATTAAGCTTAAACATTCCAGTTTTCTGTGGCATCTTGTGACTTGTAATTCTTTTCATGCCAGATTAATTTTTAGCAGGCATTAAAAAATAAGTACTATTCCAGTGGGGATATAGGGTGACACTTAAAGTCCTTGCAAGCAGGAGGCCCTGCAGCGAGTTCAGCAAGGTTTCTGGTTTCATTGCGGGAGCAACACTTGGTTTAAGCTATTTTCTGGACTGTGTAGGAGCCTTTTTTACTGCTGTTCCGTGCTAGTTCCCTGATATCCCAGCAAGAAATGAGAATAATCACTGTTACTAATTTAACAATTTTACAACAGTTATTGCAGGTGGCTAATTTCACATTTATAAAAGTTTTAGCACATACAGTTTCTTGCTAGGATAGATGGCTGCCACTTTAGTCTGCCTTTGAAACTGGCCCTAAGTGGAAGTAACAGGAGCCTAGTGTGCCTGTGAGGGTTTCTCCTGTTATTATTTAATGGGCGTAGGTTTCTGCAAGGAGGCAGGCACTGTGTGCGTATGCCATCTCTTAGCATAGCATGGGTGGGGAGTTCTCAGGGAAGACATGCAATAGAAAAGTGACCAGAAGATAGTCGGGAACGGGCAAACGGAATGAGAAGGGGCCTAAAAAATGAGACAACTTCTAAGCTGTCCATGTTTGTCTCCGCTAATAAACTGGGAGACGACCTGGTGCCTGCTGAGCCTTGGTACTGTGCTCTGGATCCAGGCAATCTTGTTTCACAGAAGTTTTACTCTTAGGTCAAGTGTCCATAGGCACCTTTCTCTGACCACCGCATGCCCAACAGGGTACTGAAGCTTGCAGGTCCTTTCTGGTCAAGATGAACTCCCCACTGCTCTCCTGCCAGCTTGTGCCATCCACCAGGCTCATTTGCTTTCTACCAGCTTTTCTGCACCTAATGGGCGCAGCTTCAACAATCCCATCCCCAGTTCTTTGTCAGCTGTAATTGTACCACCAGTGATGATTAAATTTTATCCAGAAGAATAGTATAAGCTTGGGCTTTTCTCCTTCCTTCCTGTCAAGGAGATTTTCTTCCTGCTGGAAGAAACCACTGAGGTTTTTGCTGACCAGGTAAGTGGGGATTGGTCCACAGGGTATGTATCCAAAGGTGATGGAAGTGTCCCGCTGCTCTCTGAGGCCTGATGATACATGTTTTAATTCTCCCTGAGCAGTTTGCTGCGCAGTAAATGAGGAATAAAGTTTGGATGCAGGGTTTCCAGGTCTGTTTATGAGCAAGTTGCAGTAGACTGTTTAATCTACAGAGTCATTGCCAAGTAACTTCCCACCCTACAGGATCTGCCCTGTATTATTTAACAGCTTAACAGCCTTGTCAGAAGTCTTTATTGGGGCAAGAAGGAACTTTACTGCCTTTTTTTTTTTTTTAATTCTTCCTATAGCCAGATTTTGGAAGACATCTGGGAAATTAGGAAAGACAAAGAGATTTTAAGGAAATCCTCTATGCCTTGATTTGCAGAAGCATGGAAACAGAAAACATAGCCTGGCAGGATCAGCTCCTGCAGGTCCCGAAGCAATCTGGTGGTATTTTGGTTTTAATCTGTGTACAGTTCTGAGCTTCAGTAAATCATGATCCTGTTATACCTCACTCAGATGCTAACTAATCATATCCTATTATGGCTACTTACAGAGTTTAAATCTATCAACAAATCCCAAATAAACAATGTAAATCAATTTAGGCCTTGGCATTTATTTATTTTTCTGTTTTATGATGCTTTAATGCCAGGATATTCTTTTTTTGGTTGAAAACCATCCTAGAGCAGGTGTACAGACATTTGGCAAATTCATATGAGCACGGCCCAGCATAGGGAGTGTGATGAGGACTCTGAACCAATTCTGCCAGTGAGATGCACAGGAGCGTGGTCTGCATGTTAGGAACGAGGGTCAGAGCAATGTCCCTGGCAGCAGTTTGGAGGAACAAAAGCTGGAGATGGGGAGCGGGAGAAACTACTGAAAACATGATTTGGAGGAAGAAGTTGGCTCCTGGTGACATAAATGCAAGTACCTTATCTTGTTCTGAGCCAGCATGGAGCAAGTCTTAACACAGACTGGTCTCCAAGGGAGTCATCCCCAGTTAACCTAGCATGAGCACAGTGCTCCAGGAAGGCAGCCAGTCCAAGCGGTAAACCAGTGTAATGGGCACACTCACGGGGCCCTGGTCGCTTCTTCTTTGGGTGAACTTTGCATTTCATGTTCTTCATTTGTAAGACCGATGTCAGGTTATCCATATCAAGTATATTTAGGGGTTTTTTAATGGTTAAGAAAACAGCCTGGAGGAGGTATGAAGTGTCATGCCAAAGAAGCCTTCCTTACAAGTCAGGTATCCTTCTGTGTATCTACTGTGGGCCACTGGAAACCTGATGGGTGAGTAATCACTCCAGGGATGGGTCAAATCAGGTAATTTCTCCATCTAAATGGGTCTTTAGGTGGGCTAACTTCTGCGTTCCAGCAGTGGTACTGAAATTACATGAGCCATGGTTAAACAAGGAATTTAAAACCTGGCCTCTTGTACTGTAGAACAAAGCACTTAATTCATAATTTATAGTTACTTTCACATTCCCAGGCCCTAAATTAATGCCGTAATACTTGAGTTGCAGATATTGAAGGGAGAGGTTTACTTATTTTATGAGATTGTTTCCATTGCTGTTATTTTTAAGTTCATGGAAATGTTCCTATTAGACTCTTCAGTTTTATTAAAGCTTGTTTTTGCACCACACAAATGCAGGGACGCATTTAACTTGACAGTAGTATTCCTTTAACCCAGTGGATTTTTCCATCCACTTAAAAATACTTTTCTTCTGCATGTAATGCTTTATTTTGCACAAGGATGCAATTAAGACAATTCAATTCTTCAGATGTATTGCAAGGCCTCTTATTCTCTCTTAGGACAGCCAAAAGGTCTTAAAATGTTTATTCTTCTCTGGCTAATTTGGGAGCAAATGTTATTTATTTAAATCTCACTTGTACACAAGCCTGTGACTTGAGTATTGTCAGGAGTGAGGCAACTCAGTGAGCGAATTTCCCCATCTCTCCCTTCGCCTCAGCTCCCTTGCGCCACCAGTTTGGGTGAGGAGAGGGGGCTTGCGCAGGGGCTCCTGTCCTCCCTGCCCACCGTGCCCTCAGGACTGGTGCACGGGGCAGGCTGACGACCAGGGGCAGCCCCCAGCGAGGACTCGTCCCTCTTCCACTGCTCGTGGCTTGCAGCGAGGCGCGTGGCCGCTCCAGGCTTTGGGCTAGCACGTGGGCTGAGGGGCAAAGGTTATCCAGCAGCAAGTGCTCTCTCGTGTGTTTGGGTTTCTTAACCGTTGTTGAAAAAGCCTTTCTAGTGAAAATGGTATTATTGCTATCTACTTATTTGTGGCAGTGTTTAGGAGCCCTGAGAGAGGAAAGCATAAAGGTGGCTCCTGCTAACCCTTCCACTGAAATGGATGGCTTAACTTCTAGTCCTTGGAAAAAGTAGTCATTGATTTTCTTCCTTGGTCTATAAAGGATTCTTTGAGATCCCACTTCTCTCTCCTAAGTGGTAAGTAGGCTTTATAAAAGCTGTTTTATACTCTGCAAGTAGAGGTGGACACTTAGCATAGCAATAGGCAAGGTCTAAGAGCACTACTTCCCACCTGTATAAAGCAGCATGGATGATCACAAAGGAGGGATCTCCTCAGGGCAGAATCATGTCAAGGAGGCTTTACGCTGCATTGAACAGTGGCTGAGTGTAGAGCAAAATGAAAATGCAGTCATCTTTGAGACGCTTCTCCCAGATGATGTGGGGGAAATTTCCATCTTGAGTCATATGTTACGACAGTCATTGCTCTATGGAATAAAATATTTTGCAAAAGGCTGGAAAAACAAATACTAAAGTCATATTACATTCAAAGAATATAAAAGGCACGCTCATCTGATGCTAAATATGGTCATGCTGCCAATTTTGTTTCTTACTGGAAATAAAAACAGTTTCTGAGAGCTAATCTGTTTATAAGCTTCCATATTCTCCACAGCTATAGACTAATGTCAAGACATAGTAGAAGCAGAGCTGAAAAGGCAGTTCCTAAAAGCTTTGTGTATTTAAAATGAATATTCAAAAGCTTTGTCCAGATTCCACTAAATGAAAAGAATTCTGATTTTCAAGGTGTCTTTCTGGCACCTGATAAATAGGCCTAAAAATAAATCCAGTGATTTGGCCTTTTTGGGCCTGAATAGAGTGTCTTTTTTTAACTGATTTTCTGAGGAAAAGGAACATTTGCCGGAAACGGAAATAATCTTTCACAATATCTTTCCAGATTAAAAAAAGAAGTGTGTGTTTTAGCAGAATTCACTTCTGAACCTACTGTTTTAGTTGTGAGAAAAGACGAATTGGCAATTTCCCTTTGAAGCTGTTGGGGAGAGCTGAATGATCAGTATAGCTGATAATGGCGCAGGAAGACTCCTGGCGCTCCTGCAGCAGTGATTGCATTAAAATGTCTGCACGTGTTACAGATACCGTTTCTGACACTCATGTCTGGTCCAAGCCCCAACAGCAAAGAGACAAAAAGTCTCTTATTAACTTCAATGCACTTTGGATTAGGCCTTCTTTAATTGGAACCTGCTGAAGCGTGGTACTTTTACTACCTCCCTTTGAAAAGCAGTCTTTATGGATTTGGGGCAATAAAAAGGAAAGGGTTTTTTGTGGGTGTAGTAAGCACTCTAGGTTATGGGGTCCTCTTTTCACTGCCTTGAGTGCTACTTTGCACTATTCACTTCAAAGTAAGCGTCATGAGAAAGGAAAAAGAACAGAGGAGTGGAGCCATTCAGCAAAGGATATCGGTATGTTTCCAAAACCAAGACCATTTTAAATTCTGGAATGTGAATAATCCCCTAAGAGGTGGGATTTGATGGCTCAGGAGATTGTTAATAATTCATGGCGTTTTCCACCTCGAGATCAAGGATCCAAACCCACATTGACCCAAAAGAAACGCAACCTGCTGGCAGTCTGTGCAAAATAAACTACGCATTTTCTTTCTTCTATCTTTAGGACTTTCATTTCTGACCTACGCAGCACCAGCCCTTTCTGGTGA